GTGAAACTGTCGCCACTTTCGAAGGCTGCTGAGGGGCCCAGCACACTGGGTACTCACCGCAGACTCAGATTAGACCTCGCCATCCCTGGGGGGGCTGCGATCTGTGAAATTGTCGTCACGTTCGAGGGCTGCTGAGGGGCCCAACACAAAAGGAATTCACCGCAGACTCAGATTAGACCTCGCCATCCCTGGGGGCTGCGATCTGTGAAACTGTCGTTACTTTCGAGGGCTGCTGGGGGGCCTAAACCTCGCCATCCCTGGGGGGCTGCGATCTGCGAAACTGTCGCCACTTTCGAGGCCTGCTGGGGGGCCCAGCACAGTGGGTACTCACCGCAGATTCCAATTAGACCTCGCCATCCCTGGGGGGCTGCGATCTGCGAAACTGTCGCCACTTTCGAGGCCTGCTGGGGGGACCAGCACAGTGGGTACTCACCGCAGACTCAAATTAGACCTCGCCATCCCTGGGGGGCTGCGATCTGTAAAACTGTCGCCACTTTCGAGGCCTGCTGGGGGGCCCAGCACAGTGGGTACTCACCGCAGATTCCAATTAGACCTCGCCATCCCTGGGGAGGCTGCGATCTGTGAAACTGTCGCCACTTTCGAGTCCTGTTGAGGGGCCCAGCACAGTGGGCACCTACCGCAAACTCAAATTCGACCTCGCAATCCCTGGGGGGGCTGCGATCTGTGAAACTGTCGCCACTTTCGAAGGCTGCTGAGGGGCCCAGCACACTGGGTACTCACCGCAGACTCAGATTAGACCTCGCCATCCCTGGGCCAGGGGGGCTGCGATCTGTGAAATTGTCGTCACATTCGAGGCCTGCTGAGGGGCACAGCACAGAAGGTAATCACCGCAGACTCAGATTAGACCTCGCCATCCCTGGGGGGCTGCGAACTGTGAAACTGTCGTTTCTTTCGAGGGCTGCTGAGGGGCCTAGCACAGTGGGTACTTACCGCAGACTCAAATTAGACCTCGCAATCCCTGGGGGGCTGCGATTTGTGAAACTGTCGCCACTTTCGAGGGCTGCTGATGGGGCCCAGCACAGTGGGCTTCCCGCACGTCTTTCTCCTGCTCTTCGTTCCCGACTCCCCATGTCCTCTTCGAGCCTGTAGTTGTCGCCCCTCGTTATTGTACGGTTCTCCTGCGCATCATTCCATAGGCGCGTGTCCCAAGTACCTTACATATCAAACAACGGATCCTGCAACTTGATTGTCCATGCAAGTTTCGGCCAACTCGTCGTTTCCCATGATACAAATGGGTTGGGTACGTCACAGGGTAAGTTATGTTAACCTGTTCTGAGCATCTATGTTAGCCTGTTATGAGCATATATGTTAACCTACTTTGAGCACCTATGTTAACTTAAGATAAATATGATATCACACCTATGGATGATACGCTACGCTAAACCATATCCTACCCAACAACCGCTAAATATAGTATACAGCTTATGTTGACTTAGTAAAGTCAAGGCTGACTTTAGCTAAGTATGATAAACCAGCTTTGTAGCTATAGCATGATGCTGCTTGCAAGAGGGATGTGAGCACGCTGGAATCACCTTAGCAATTCGCTATAAATCTCATAAGCTCTAACAAAGCCGACATTCATCTCAGTGGGGCCCCTGGAAGCCCTCTTAGGGCGTGGTGGGGCGATCTGTGTTACATTGTGCGTCTTTCCTCGGGATTGGGACGAATTTTGCTTCTGAGCCCTCTTGGACGTCTCTTGGAAGGACTTGGAGGCCTCCTTTGGGCCTCTTGGGTCCGTCTTGGGCGCCTCTTGGGCCGTGTCAAGCTGTTTAGGGTGGTCTTGGGCGCCTCCAGGGCTGTCTCGGGCCCGTCTTGGGCCGCTCTTCGAGCCCTCTTGGGCTGTCCTGGGCGCCTCTTGGGCTGTCCTGGGGCCGCCTGGGACCGTTCTGGGGCTCCCTGGAGCCCCCCTTCGGGTGTCTTGGGGCGATCTTGGGGGCCTGTATGGCCGTCTTGGACGCGTTGCGGACGCAAAGTGCGGGAATTGCAAAAGTGCAAGTTTTCCCTAGGGATTGGGACGATTTTTCCTTGTTCGAGCTCTCTTGGGCCGTCGGGAGGCCATCTTGGACGTCTTGGAGCGCTCTTTGGACCTTTTCGGAGGCCCTCTTGGGCCGTCTGGGGCCGTCTTGGGGCCCTCGTGAAGGCCTCCAGGAGCGTCTCGAAGCGCTCTTGGGCCATCTTGGAGCGTCTCGGAGCGCGCCGGGGCCTGCTGGGGCTCGCAGGGGCCTGCTACGCCATTTTGGTCCGAATCGCCTTTCTCGCACGCGCGGGGCCCATCTTGGGGTCCCGTTGGCCTGTCTTGGGCGCCTATGGGGCCGTCCTGGGGCCGCCTTGGACCGTCTTGGGGCCCTCTTGGACCGTCTTGGGGTCCTCTTGGGGACCTCTTCGACCGTCTTGGAGCGGTCTTGGATGCCTCTGGGGGGGGTTCGGAGCGTCGGGAAGCCGAAAAAGCGAAAAAGCAAACAACCTCGGAAAAAACCTATGAAAATCAACGATTTTGGCCTGCCTCTTGGGAGGCCTATTGGGCCGTCTTGGGGAGCTCTTGGGACGTCTTGGGCCAATCTTGGGCGTCTTGGCCGGATCATTGCACGTCTCGGGGCCCTCTTGGGCCGCCTTCGGGGCATCTTGAGCGGCTCGGAGCCGTCTTTGGGCCGTCGGGGCGGCCTCCGGAGCGTTTTGGAGCCGTCATGGGGCCGCCGGGGCGCCGAGAGCCCCCAAGCTCTTCCCGACCCTTCCTGCACGCACGTGCTCCTGCAATATAGTAGAGACTAGTGTGAACCCGTGGATTAACTCCACGGCGTGCTGAGCCTGGGACTCGCACACCGTAGGTTACCAGCTCGTCGACATTGAACAGCTCTGGCGTCCCTTGGGCGGTAGGGGCGACCTTCGGAGGCACATGTGACGGTCACGTTTGAGGGCAATGGTTGGGAGCTGTGTGGGGGCCACGTTTGGGGGCGCCTGGGGGCTACGCGTGGGGGTGACGTTCGGGGGCCACGCTTACTGGGGCGGTAGGGGCGACCTTCGGAGGCTTTGTGTGGGGGCCGCCTTTGGGGGTCCCATTTGGGGGCCACGTGGGGCCGACGTTTACAGGCCACGTCTGGGGGCCACCCCGGAAAGCAGTCGGGGAGCTCCGGGGGCACTTACCTGGAAGCGTGAAAAGAGATGGGCTTTTGCTAATCGCGCCGGGCCTAGGCGCGATTAGCAAAAACACAAGGGTTTTCAGGCACAGTCAGAGTGAGGGGGGCACGTTTGCGGGCCTCGGTTGGGGGCCGCGCAGGGAGGTCTTGGGGCCATCTTGGGGGTCTCGGGCCGTCTCGGAGGTCATTTTGGGCCCTCTTGGGCGGCATCTTGGGCACTTCTGGGGGCGTCTTGGGGCCACCTTGGGGGGCCCTCTTGGGCCGTCTACGGGCCTTCTCGGGCCGTCTAGGGGCCCTCCTGGGACCCTCTTGGACAATGCAGGGGCGATGTGGGAAGCCCCCTGGGGCCATCCTGGGCAGCTGTGGTCCCGAAGTGGCGGGAACAGGAAAACCCTCGAAACCACAGGAAAACGGATAAGTTTTGCCCTTTGGCGCCGTCCAGGCGGTCCTCGGGGGCCGTCTCTGAGGCCTTTTGGGGCCGTCAGGGGGTTTCGGTCGGGTCGGTTTCGGCCCTTGTGGGTGTTTGTGAGGCCGTCTTGGGGCGATCTGGGGGTCCTGGAGCCGTCGGCGAGCGATCCAAGGGCCTCCTGACGCCGTCGAGGAGCGCCCCAGAGGCTCTCTGAACGGCCCGCGGGCTCTCTGGGCGGCCCGGGGCGCTGCCACTGTTTGTCCTTTTCGCGGGCGCTTCGCCCGGAATTGTAATACAGATGGCGTTGGGCTCCAGCTTCGCCTTCCACATGTCACTGAGCACTGAAAGCGCGTGTTGCCATTGCCCGCCTTTTCTGCATGCGCTGGCAATCGCAATGTAAAGGCCTGGGACACATCACACACCTAATCGAAGTCCTTCGCGGAGCAACCGCAGTGCTACGCTCCATTGTTTTGTCCGACCGCAATTCTTGATCGACGCTTCGACGGAGATAACGCCTTCTCGAGACCCTCGGCCGACGCCCAGCATCCGAGAAGACACGGCACCGCGGCTTGAGCCACATTGTAAATACCTTAGGTCAAGGCTTGAGCCAGGGGCTTGAGCCAGGGCTGCGGACTGGCGGGGATACTTTATGGCTGGCGGTTCCAGGACAGAGGTCATGAAGCGGGATTAACGACTGGGGCTCAGACAGCAGATAATTGGCCAAAGCGGCGCGAACGCCGCAGAGGCGAGTGCACGCGCAAGGGACAAAAGGACCCACATTAGAGGTGATGCAAGGGACAAAATGACCCGAATTGAGCAGACTGGCGGGGGTGGGGGGGATATTTTTTTGTTCGGCGGCTCCAAGGAAAAACCCAGGGAGCGGTCACACCGTCCGGAGCGCGGTACATTGTAAATTTGCGAATCCAGCCGTCACTGTCGACAGCCGACCGCACCTGCAAGCATGCTCGCAGTTGCACGCGCACAGTACAACATGAACTAAATTCGCAAACGACGCACATAGGTGCAGCAGCGAACCGAGAGGCGCGAGCTACATGTGCGATGACAGCTGAGAGTCGCCATTGCGGCGGGTGGGGGGGATACTTTTTTGATTCGCGGCCTGCAAGGAAAAGTCCAGAGGGCGGTGTGAACGAGGCTGGGGCACGCACGGGAAGGCAGATAGGTGGGGGGGGGATGCGCGAAGCGTCAAGAATTTTCACTGCGTTTCAGCATCAGCCAACGGAGACATAGCATGCACCAACTCACCCGACACCATCTCCTTCTCCCGTTCAGCCTGCCCAAGTCCGAATCCCGCCACGTGTACAGCATCAAAGGGCCACGGTTGCTCAGAGGGGCAGACTGGCAGAGGCGGAAGAGAAACGTCAGGGAGAAAGAGGCGCGAGGCGAGTTGCGGCGGTCTCGAAGGCGTGGGCCGTCTCCTGCAATACATGTACGCCCTGTTAGACCCGTACAGCATCACGGCGAAGAAGCAGCCGATGGGGACCAGGTACTGAAGGATCGCGCGGGGGGCGCAATGAGAATGTTTGCCGCTAGCCACCACTGCGCGAAGGTTCACCACAGCGGCACTCCACACCATCCAAAAGCAAATACACTGCCATGCCAAGCTGGCTTCTGCAACTCAATCGTAAGGATCGTACCCCCGGCACTGAACAACGAACCTACACCCGCATACACAGTTCATGACATGCCATATGCACCTGAATTCAATGTACATGCTGACCAATGGTTGCCTGCTCCATGCTGCACCACGCATTATCAGTGTGCTTAGAGGCGCACGCACGGGAACAAATACAATCGGGCTCCTTTCCTGAGTGAGCGAGGAATGAGGAGGGAAAGGGAAAACAACAGCCGACAAGGAGGCGGAAAAGGACGAGACATATGTGAGTGCGAAAGTGAGCGGCAAGCAGAACTAGCAGAGTAGAAGAGCAACAACAATAGCACAACCAGGATGTGAAGAGTGCATGGGCCTTGAAAGATAACAAAGAAAAACAGATGCGGACTTGCATGGACAGTGTATTGAAGAAATGGTGGGCTTGACGGCAAACAAGTGTTAACAAACACGGAGTCGGATCGTTTAGATCGCCCGCGGAAATGTTGACACATTCAGCACGTGCGCCAATCTGTGCCGTGCCAGTGAACTGCAAGCTCCGGTAGATGTGTTACATTAATATGCCCACGATCGTGTTGAGGTTCGAGATTTGGGACATGAGCAACGAATAAGAGCTCTAGTTAGAGCGGAATGAGAATATTAGATGTGCAATGCATCGGCGCCGCAGGATATCTTCCCCAGCCCAACACTGGAATTTATTCCGATGGTCCACGAGGGCTCCGATCACCCAAAATATTGCATATGTTGTTACTTCTACTTGAGCGGACCGATACAAACGGCTCATGGCGGGGCGGCGACTGCAACTGACGGGGGCAAGAGGGGCACTTGTACTCGGATGTGTCTAAGACCATCAAATCAAATCAGAGCACCATATCTGTTGGCACAGTTGCCCCACTTCTCGAAGGGGCGTTGCAACTGGCAAATCTGCAAACAACATCAAGATCATTTCGAGGCGGAGCCAACCGGCAATTCAATTCCGTTCACTGGTACTGGGAGGCGACGTGCTCCAGAGAGCCGAGACCATGCCAATCGGCAACCGCAGAAGCAGCGACAGCGAGCCAAATACGGACATGGTGGCGGTAGCTGAGCACGATCCCTGACCATGGGACCCTCATTATCCCTCCTATGGCCCCTGACCCCACCGATCCTTGTAGAGGTCCATCAACCTGCCCTTGCACTTCTCGACACCCGGCATCAGAGATGGCTTCACGTTCACGATAAGCCGCGGGCCCCGACTTCGGTAGGCGACGAGCTTGTGGGAGCAGAACCCTGGTGAAGACGAGATGCTTGTCAGCGTGGACCCCAAAACAATGGCTCGTTGCATGTGGATGCCCAGCTTGGGAATGCAATCCATTTGCTGCTTGTACGGGGGCTAATGAATGTTGACCGCATCCGCGCATGACTACATCCAACGCGTGTGCAAGCATCCCACCCACCCACTCACCCGCAGCTTCTTGGCAGAACTGCAACAGGCGGCGACAACGACGATGACGATGACCATGTTCATGACGACGGTGGGGATGATGCCGACGACGACGAAATCGCTGGTGATGAAGAAGATAGTGATGATAATTACGGTGGCACTACTGACGCTGGCGATGATGATGACGATGGTGCTGGTGATACAGATGAGGAAGTGTGCGCACAGAACTTGGGCGACGGCAACGGCACCGACAATGACGATGATGACGGCGGTGGTCAAAAAAAGACGACGATGGTGATGATGATGACGATGATGACGATGGCAATGATGGCGTCGGCGGTCATGGTCAGGATTGTGAAGACCAGGACGATTCGAAAATGCCAACTCACAGAAAATCACATGCCTAATATGTGTTTACAGAAAGCATGTGGATAATCGCATGTGCTCGAAAACATAAGGGCCGAAGTGCTTAGAACGACAGCTTAGGAAGGATTCGACGAGCGCGCGCGGAATCGCCCGAAGCACGGCCCGCTTGGCATGATTCGACAGAGTTAATGGGCGCGCGGTGGCTGTTTAACGTTGCCGACATGCGCGCGAGCGGGAGAAAGCCAGAAAGCGCGAGGGAGAGAGAAAGAGAGCCAGAGGAAGAATGTGACAGAAGGGGCGGAACCACGTGCATGACAGCGAAAAGACAAACGTGATGGTTCAGCGGGCAGAGGATCGGAGGCTCGAAGAGTGGGCAGGCCACTATTGGACCCGAGGCGAAGTGAGTCTCAAGTAACGAAAGGGCGCGCTGAATGGTAAAACGAATACTTGTCCACTCCCCCCGAAAATATACCCTGGCGAAGGACAAAAACCGCGTGCGGGTGCGAGTGCGGCGAGGCAGGCGGGACGAGACAGGGGCACTTCCCAGTGGGGCCACGATGCGTGTGAGCGATGTGCCGACATGGGCGCGGGGCCGCCATGCGGACCCCTGCCGCTTGGGCCTCTGGTGGGCCCCCCTAGGGGGCCACGAGACGTCCGTGAGGGGTGTGCCGCCATGGGCGCGGGGCCGCCCTGCGGACCCGGCCGCGGGGACCTTCGGTGGAGCTCTCGAGGAGGCCACGCCACGCGTGAGGGGTGCGCCGGCAAGTAAGTGGTGCGGGGCGGCGGACCCTGCCGCTATAGGGAACTTCGGTGGCGCCCGGACGTGGCCACGAAGCGCGTGCGAGGCGTGCCAAAAGGGGTGCGGGGCCGCTGCGAGCGGATCGCGCGTGTCGCTCCGCTCCGCGGGGCCCGGGAGGCTGGAGGAGGCTCGGAACGGGGACGCCCGAGCACCGGGAAGTGAGCAGCGTGTCGAGCCGAAGCGTGGCGGGCCAGAGCTGGCGGCGCGACACGCTGAGCCAAAGCTCCTGGCCGCACCTTCAACGAACGATGGGGCCCCCTGGAGGGGGAGGAGAAAGCCGACGACGACGTCGACGACGAATGGGACCTGGGGGACGGGCAGGCGCCACACGGCACGTGACCCTGGCGGCAGCCCTCATGGGATCCCGGTGAGGACCAGATTCGTGAACATGTGGATCGCCGTGAGCGCCATGGGGTGCGGGAAACGGCCCTGGGCGTGGCAGGGGTGGGCCCCGTGGGCAACAAGACAGACTCGCGTCCGCAGCCTCGCAGGCCTGGCCCCTGGGCCGCGATCCCGCGGATACGGGACGCTCTCCCGCGGAGGCCCCACAGATTCGAATATGCTCCCCGCCCGAGAGCGCCAGGCGGGGTCCCCGGGGGCACCAGCACACTCCGGGGACCGCAGGCCGCGGCATGCGGCCAGTCGTCGTTCGTCGAAGACGCGAGACGACAGCCCCCAGGGAGCACTGGCACCCATTTGGACCCCTGGCGGCCGCGGTGCGCAGAGGTCTGGCAACCGCAACCCGTCGGGCGGGGAGGAAGAAGAGCAGGAAGGATTGGCCACCGCACCGACCTCGCAGACGTGCTGCAGCGGATTTGCGCGTGGACTTCTGCCAATGCGAAGCCCCGACACGGCGATCGAAACACGAAGAGAATTTCATGTGGATATTTTGTGTTCTAGTCTTCCTTCCTGTCCAAGAGAACTCCGCGCGAAAATTACTTGAAATCTGGAGCGAAGCTCTCCAGGACAATCCGGGTCTATCCCCTTGTTTTCCGAACGACATCCGCTCTGCGCTGCTGGCGCCATGAGATTCGGGGTGGGGGAGGGAACAAACAGCCTCGGGGCGTCGTACACGGAGTTTTGGCTAAACGGGGGCTCAGGCTTTTCCATGTGCCCCCGTTTACTATGCCCCCGTCTACGGCCCCCAGGGCCCTCTGAACGGGAGCACAGCCAGACGTGAAAATCGGCGTTCCCCGTGCCCCCGTTTGCTGTGCCCCCGTCTCCCTAGGCCCCCGACGGCGTGATTTTTCATTGCGTCGACCCCGGGAGGTCTCGACCTATTCCCCTGGGGCCGGTTTCTCATCCGGAGCCGTTTTTTGACAGTCCCGAGGCCCTGGAAGGGCCCCCAGAGGCCGAGCATGGCGACAGACCTCCGGTCATGATTTTTTCATTGCTCGAGGGGGTCTGGGTCTGTCGGGGGCGCGCAGACATGGATTAGCGATCCATGGATTTGGCGCGCGGTCGCCAGATCCATGGATCGGGGGAGGTGCCCGCCCAAGAACGCGGCCAATGCCGCCTCGCTCGGCGGCGAGAACCCGCGATCTCCCAATGGAAACGGGACCCGTCGCTAATCCAGGGGGATTCTGGAAGAAGAATCGACATACGCAAGACAAAACAAAAAACGAAAAAATACGCCGCCTTGATCCATCTTTGCGACCGCCTGAGAGGAAGTCTGGGCCCGGCGCTCTGAGCAGCACAGACCCCGCCGCTTCCCTCCGGGCCTCTCCTCGCCCCCCCCCCCCCCCGGGGCGCGACCTCTCTGGCCCCCGCACGCCGAGGCGGCCTCCGGGGCTCTCTGAGGCGACGAGGGCCGCCCGAGGAGGGGCCCCAGCGGAGGGCGGGGGCGGGGCCGAGGTCGGGCACGTCCTCCCACGGGCGTACTTTTTGCGAGGCGGGGATATTTCCAGATCCACCGCCTGGGAACGGGCGTCCTGGTGCCCCAGCGGGCGGCGGATGTGGATACGTTTGGCCCCCGGGGGCCCGAATATGTTTATATGCACCGCCTGCCGAGGTCCCCGAAAATTGATCCTCCAGGCGGTGGTCATGTAGAAACTCCCGCCTCGGCGGCTTTAGAAGGGGAAATGAACAAGGGTCGAAAAATACGCCAAAAAGGGCCGAAACATCGTCCCCAGACTAAATGTTTCGACAAGGCTTAAAATACGCCGCCTGTAGCGGGACATGCCGGACTTAAGACGAGGCACGGGCAGCGGCACCAGACTTCGGATCTCCCCTCGGGGGAGGGGGGAACTGTGCCAGCGGGAGCAGGCAACGGGATGCAGCTGCACTCGGAATTCGAGCAGGCACCCACCCCCCTCCTCCTCTGAGCCAAGATCCGCCCAAAACAGGGAGCCCACACACATCCCTCCTGGGTTCCTTCTGGCCGCGCCTTGCACCCCACGCCGACTCTTTGGAGTGGCCCGCTGGCAAAAAAACAACTTCCAGGTCGAAGCCTGCGCGCAAAAAAGCAGCTCTCCTCTCACAGACTCACCGGAATGGCTACCTGCCAGACCACCCCAACCCAACCCGAAGACCCGAATTCGGGTTGGTGGGTGCACGGGTCCACATGTGTTTTTGTTCCATGTTCCCCCGACCCCCCCACCCACCGGAAATGGAGGGCAGATTGAGGCCTCCGGGTGAGGCTGGGGTGGTGTGGTGGGTGGTGACGTGAAGGGGGCCTCACGGCCGCCACGAGCCGCAGACTGCGCAAGCCCTCCGTGAAGAGCTCGCCGTGGGGAGCGCCCCTCCGCGCACCGGGCAGCCCGCCCCACTGGGGGCGGCCACCCCTGGGCGGGCGGAGTGCAGCGGGTACGCGATCCCGCCGAGGCGGGGAGGGGTATGGCAAGAGCATCGGCGCCGTCGCCGTCGTCGGCACTCTTCGTCGTCCTCTTCAGCCCCCTGCTCGACAGCGTCGCAGTCACAGTCCCAGTCGTCGTCGTCGTCGTCGTCGTCGTCGTCGTCGTCGTCGTCGTCGTCGTCGTCGTCGTCGTCGTCGTCGTCGTCGTCGTCCTCGTCGTCGTCGTCCTCGTCGTCGTCGTCGTCGTCCTCGTCCTCGTCCTCGGCCTCGGCCTCGTCCTCGTCCTCGTCGTCATCGTTCTCGTCGTCCTCGACGTCCTCTTCGTCGTCGTCCTCGTCCTCCGCTTCCTCGTCGTCGTCGTCGTTAGCGTCCTCGCCGTCGTCATCCTCGTTGTCGTCGTCGTCGTCCTTATGGTTGTTATCGTCGTCCTCGTTGACGTCGTCATCGTCGTCCTCGTCGTCGTCGCGTTCCTAGTCGTCGTCGTCTTCCTAGTCGTCGTCCTCGTCCTCGTCGTCGTCATCCTCGTCATCCTCGTTGACGTCGTCGTCGCCGTCGTATTCCCCCTCCTCGTCGTCCTCGCGGCCGTCACCATCGTCATCGTCGTCCTCGAGGTCCTCGTCGCAGTCGTCGTCGTCGTCGTCGTCGTCGTCATCGTCCTCGTCGTCGTCGTCGTTGTCGTCGTCGTTGTCGTCGTTGTCGTCGTCGTCCTCTTCGTCGTCGTCGTCCTTATGGTCGTTGTCGTGGTCCTCGTCGTCGTCCTCGTCGCCGGACTCTCTCGGGCCCTCGCGATCCCTGCCCTATGTGTGTGTGAGTGTGTGTGCACTGGAGAGGGCCCCGGCGACGGCCAAGAAGGTCAGGCCGCCCTGGCCCGGCGCGCGCTCGGGCCCCCGTCGAGCGCCACGCCCTCGAGTGCACGGCCCGGGCCCCTCCTTCTCCCCCCCCTTGCCCCGTTCATCCACCAGTGCAATCAACATTGGCAGTAGTTTAGGATGTGCGATGTAAGGATGCAAACTCCTGGGGTGCCCATGTCGAAGCCTTTCGAGCGGGGCTGGCCATCGAAAGCGGTTAGGGCTAAACCGAAGAGACAAGGATACAGAGGTACCCTTGGGAAGGTTGCCCATCGATTTCGACTGCAGGGGGGCAGGAGAGCACCCCCGCCCACACCTGGCCCCCCGTCCCCATTGGAGGGGGGGCCAGGCAGGGGCGGGGTCTCTGCTCTGCGTCTCTTTCACGATACATGCTCACAGTCGGGCGCCGAAGGGCCCAGCCCCCGAGGGGGGAAGAGGGGCCAAATTGGGGTGGACGTGCACTTCTTGTCCCCCAAATCCGCCACCGTGCCTGCACGGACTGGGCGTGTGAGAATGCTTGCTTGTTATCTGGGAGGTTTTGTACATTTTCTGGGGCCGATCCCCCCGCCCCTCCCCGCATGCACCCCTCGAAACCGCCCCCCTCTGAAATTGATTTCTGGCGGTCTTTTCGGCATCCACGCGGCCAAGATGGCCTCCAGGACGACAACAAAACGGCCCAGGACGGCCCAAGATAGCTCAAGAGCCTTTCAAGACAGCCTCACGACGGCCCAAGAGGCCCTCAAGACGGCCTCAGGACAGCCCTCGAGTTAGGTCGGACATGTCCCCCTACAGGCGGATTTTGGAAGAACAATCAAACACAACCCAAAAACAACCAAAAATTGCCAAATTATCCTGGCGAAAAACCCAACCATATGCAGTTGTGGGTACCGCAGTTGTGAATATCTTCGGTCGGGCCACGAAGCGCTGCACTGTGTGGGGGGGAACGCATGCGGGCGGTAGCACGCACTGGGGCCGTCGGTGGAGCTCCCTATAGGGCCACGAAACGCTGTACTGGGCGGGGTGGGGGGGGCGCATGCGGGCGGTTGCACCGGCGCCTTCGGTGGAGCTCCCTATGGGGCCACGAAGCGCTGTACTGGGTGGGGGGGAACGCCTGCGGGCGGTAGCACTGGGGCCGTCTGTGGAGCTCCCTACGGGGCCACGAAACGCTGTACTGGGTGAGGGGGACGCATGCGGGCGGTAGCACTGGGACCTTCGGTGGAGCTCCCTATGGGACCACGATGGGTTGGGGGGACGCATGCGGGCCGTAGCACTGGGGCCTTCGGTGGAGCTCCCGATGGGGCCACGAAACGCTGTACTGGGTGGGGGGGACGCATGCGGGCGGTAGCACTGGGGCCGTCAGTGGAGCTCCCTATGGGGCCACGAAACGTGTGAGGGGTGTGCCGAAATGGGTGTGGGAAACGCATGCGGGCGGTGGCACTGGAGCCTTCGGTGGAGCTCCCTATGGGGCCAAGAAACGCTGTACTGGGTGGGTGAAATTGCCAAATTGGGCTTCCGGAGCGCATGCGTGCAGTCCCACGGGGGGGTTCGGTGGAGCTCCCTATGGGGCCACGAAACGCTGTACTGGGTGGGTGAAGCGCAGGGAGGAAGGAGGAGGGGGAGGAGGGGGAGGAGGGGGGGAAGGAAGGAGGGAGGAACGCGTGTACCGTCTCTTCAAAACGAGGACCCATCACCACAGGACGGTTGGGATAAATTATAAAAAATCGTCCCCTTGCCATTTTTTACATATTCTTGAATATTCCTCCTGTAGAGTGACATGCCCGACTTAATCCAAGAGGCCCCCACGACGAGAGCTCCGAGGGGCCTTCTTGGAGAGCCCGGAGGGCCAAAACTGGCACGGCTGGGGGGCGAAACAGGCGCCAGAACTTCACGACGCCCTGCGCGGCCCGCGCCTCTTTCGTCACGGGCGGAGGACGAGGGGCATGAGGTGTCGCCTGCGCTCCACGTGGCTCGTTCCCGAATCCCCGAATGTAAGAGTGATGGCATCTCTCTCTCTCTCTCTCTCTGGCCCCAAAGCTGTTCCCAAGAGCCCGACTAGAGACCTCAGGCCTCCCAAGAGACCCCCCCAACGAGCCTCTGCGAGTTGCGGCCTTCGTGGGGCCTTACTCCGGATCCCCCTTCAGGGTCGGCGGAACCGGTCGTAGGGCCTCTCCCATACGGCAGTGCGCACCTTGTCGACTGCGCTCCGTACGTGTGGCTCGGTCCGGAAATCCCGAATGCAAACATGTTGGTGTCTCTTGGAGGCGCACATTACCTCCGCCAGCTTCCGCAGGCCGTCCGCCGGAGGAGCCGCCAACTTCGCCCCCGTTCTACTTGCTTCCGCCGCCTTCGGCCGGCCTCCGCCAGCCTTCCGCCGGCATTCCGCCGCCCTCTTCCGAGGAGAGGACGTCAGCCGTTCGACCCCTTGAAGGCGAGGCCCTCTCTGGAACGCCACGCGCGCGCGCGGGAATGCGAGGTTCGATGTCGACGGCGCTCGGAGAAGAACGGCGAACACGAATTCTTCGGACCTCTGTCCGGGGCTGCAGATCTGCCGGGGCCCCCCCCTCGAAGCGATGAAGAAGCGACCGATGCTTCGGCCGGCGCCAGCAGTGCCCACGCAGAGGGCGCAGCCGGTGCCGCAGACATAATGCACGTCTGTCCGAGCGCGGAGCTCCCGCCAACGCGAGCCCGTTTCAAATCCCACCAGCCCTTTGCGCCGAGGTGGTCAAGCGAATTCTCTCTTTTCTCTGCCAAAGCCCTCTTCCTTTCGGGAAGGTTTACCTCCCCCCCTCCCTGGGTCTATACGGGGGGGGCGCAGGGGTTAGAGCGCCCAAGATGGCCCCAGATGGCTCCAAGATGGCCTCCGATGCTCCAAGATGGCCTCCAAGGCGGCTCACAGTACTCGAAGATGGTTCAAGATAGCTTCCGACATACCTCCAAGAGGCCCGACGAGGGCCACAAGACGGTTCCAAGTGCTCTCGGAGCCCCCTCAGGACCCCCCACAAGAGGCCCAAATCTGTCAAACACCTACGAAAAAAATATGATGGTTGCCTTCTCTCCTTTTCGCGTCCGATACGCTTTTGAGGCTTCAAGATAAGATGGCCCCAAGATCAACAGAGGCCCAAGAGGATCCCAAGAGGCCCCCCAGACGGCCCCAAGAGAGCCCCAAGAGGGCCCCAAGAGGCGATTTTGATGGCCACGGGGGGGGGGGGGGGGACAATCGGCGACACCCCCTTCGATCAATGTCCTCCAAGATGGCCCCAAGAGACCCTCCAGGGCTCCCAAGGGACCTCCAAGAGCGCCCCAGGACGGCCCCAAGAGGGCCCCAAGACCCCCAAAAGAGCCCGAAGAGGACCCCAAGATCCACCAGAAGAGCCCCAAGATGACCACAAGACGCGAGTTTGAGGGCTATGTCCTCGTCCTCGTTGTTTTCCGTCTCCTCCTCCTCCTCCTCATCCCCCTCCTCCTCTTCCTCCTCATCGTCCTTGCCCTCATCGTCTTCCTTTCACTTTTCTTCCTCTGTCTCGTCGTCTTCTTCCACCTCCTCCTCCTCCTTCTCCTCCTCCTCCTCCTCCTTCTCCTCCTCCTCCTTCCCTCGCCCCCACACGGGCCCCAGGGATAACCCAAAGAGGCCCGCCAAGGCCACCCCCTTGCTCACGGAGATCCCTCTGATCACCCTGGTTGCCCGCGTTGTTTCACTACACATGGATGTCTCTTCGTCCCTTTTCCCGTCAGCTCTCATGGGCAGGGTTTCTGAATGGGCAGGCGGAGATTGTTTTGTCGCAGCTGCAGGCGAGCGCGCCGACAGCGTCAGAAGAGTAGCACGGGCCGCGAGCACCCTGATTGCCGGCGCGCGCGCGCCGAGCAAGCAGACTAATCCTGCCGCCGAGAGAAGCTGCGCCGGGGCTGGGCTGCGCCGAGGGGTGGAAGCTGCCAGCTGCGGAGGCGGCTGGGAAGCTGCGCTGGTGGAGATAGGCGATGCGTGACAAAAATACACTGGTCGCTATGTCTCGTTATGTTGGAGAGGGGTGAGGAGGAGGCGAAAGGAGAGGGCGCAACAAACAGATTGCCGATCGAATCGTCACTTTGCGCACCGCGGGAGCCTGGAGCGCAAAACATCGAATTGTCTTGGCTGGCTCGGGGCGCACCATCGTTGCTGCGATCCTCGCAGTTCTCTTCCTGCCGTAGGCAGGATTACTGTCGGCTCCAAGACGCACAACTCTCCCGTGGCCAAGCCTGAATCGTAGGGCGCGCGATACGGGACCGTAAAGCAGGGAAGCACACGCGGTCAACATGCCCCGACATGTGACAATGAGTTGTACAGGCCCATGTGCTCGCGATGAGTAGCGAAGTCCTTGCGAAGCTGGTAAACTTATCATTGAGAGCTCGGATCGAATTTGAATGACATCCAGATGGTGCCAAGTGGTCTCGCAATCTTGGTCGCAGAGGCTTCAGGTCCTATTATCGCAGACTCGCAGACATACAAGCCTTTAGGAGAATTGCCGCACGTGTCCAAGGCATTCGTTCGCAGTAACACTTCCCACGCCAATCTCGACACTCCACAAGCGAAGACGGCACGCAACATACCGACACGACCTGGGAGTGGTAGGACTCGGCAACGAATATGGCGGCACCCGAGAGAGAGAGAGAGAACAACAACAACAACAACAACAACAACAACAACAACAACAACAACAACAACAACAGCAACAGCAACAGCAACAGCAACAGCAACAGCAACAACAACAAAGAAAGAGAGAGAGAGAGAGATTGCCTTGTGCATCAGAAACTTGTTGAAATTGATCAGCCCTCCGCTAAGAACCTTAGCAGGGGGCAGATGGACAACGCGGGGAGACTCTCCAGGTAGGAAGGCCCTCCGAGCTCGACGCCCAGCCCGGGGGTCAAACCCATCCAGCACGAAACATCTCCTACGGCGCACGAGCGAGCATGAAGCTCCTGCCACAAGACGCAAGTCAGCTAAGTAGGCTCAGCTGGCCGACGTTGCGGAATTGGGGAGGCTCGAGGTTGGAGGGTCGATGTTCGCAGATCCAGCTTGTCCGGCGGGCCTCTGGAGGCCTCCAGGGACCCCCAGAGACAACTTTCACGCCTCCGAAAATATGTATGGTGCCTCTTGACCAGGTCCCAAGCAGCCCCCGGATCCTGCCAGAAGCCCGTCAGTAAGGTGTCTCGAGCTGTGACCCCGGCGACGAGGGACACCCCAGAGGCTCATCAAAAACGAAGCTGCAAACGAAAGGACGAGAAGGCTGTCCCAGGCTGTCCCCCGGCAGCCCGTCGTTCCAATCATGCAAGCCCTTACCATGCCGCGTCCTCTGTCACTGTGATCCGTCACGGCCGATCGCCCGTCTCCTCGCTGGGCCATGCATTCGCCTCCCCCCAGTCCCTTCCATAGAGGCCTCCTAGATGGGGTCGGAGGAGGTGGGGTTGGAGGATCGCGCCACATCGGCGATGCATCGGCGATGCATCGGCGATGCACTGGCGATACATCGTCGACATCTGCGACGCATCGGAGATGTCGACGTGAAGCACATTGCGCTGCACATCGAGTCGCATCGGCGATGCCTCGGCGATGCGGCGCGATCCTCCGACCCCACCTGCTCGGACCACATCTGGGAGACCTAGATTCCAGGCGACGGGGAAGAGGGGAGCGAAGGGACTGAGGACAAGCCACTCTGGGCCCCAACCTGGCCCCCAAGCCTCTCCTCTGCTACCGGGACTCCCACCCTCTGGCCTCCAGCATCTCCACCCCTCTCATGACACGAAGCCCCCCCCTCCCCCAACAGACAGACAGACAGACAGACAGACAGACAGACAGACAGACAGAAAGAAAGCCAGACAGACAGACAGACAGACAGACGGACAGACAGACAGACACATAGACACAGACACACACACACACACAGACAAACAGACACACAGACACACACAAACAGACACACACAAACAGACACACACACACACACTCACACACACTCTCACACACACACACACACACGCGCGCACGCACGCACGCACACACGTACGTACACGCGCACGCACGCACGCACGCACGCACGCACGCACGCACGCACGCACGCACGCACGAACACACGCGCACACACACACAGAGACACACACACACACACGCGCACACACACACACACACGCACGCACGCACGCACGCACGCACGCACGCACACACACACACAAACACACACACACACACACACACACGCACGCACGCACGCACGCACATACACGCACGCACACACACACACACACACACACACTCTCACACACACACATACACTTACATACATACACACACACACACACACGCACGCACGCACGCACGCACGCACGCACGCACACACACACACACACACACACACACACACACGCACGCACGCACATACACGCACGCCCGCACGCCCGCCCGCACGCACGCACACACACACACACACACACACACACACATACAGACACACACACACACACATGCAGACACAAATACACATATACACTCAGACACATACACACACTTGCTTTGAGCGTCGCTGCCCGAGCCGAGCAAACAGGGTGAGTAGAAGCTCCACGGGCGCACGCACGCAGGCCCAGGCAAGACGGAGTGGCCGGGCTCCCACGGGGCAGTGGCGAGGCAAGGGGCGCCGCGGCCGCGTCGGGGCGCCGGCGGCGGGGGGGAGGCGCGGCAGCGCGCGCCGCGGGGGGTGCCAGAGCAGCGGGGGGCGGCGCCGGCCACACGGGCCGCCGCGGGGCGGGGTGGCGCGGCCGCCCCAGGAGGAGGCCGCGAGGCGCGCGCCGAGGGGCCAGAGCACTGCGATCTGCGCACAGACGGCCCCGCGGGGGGGGGAGCCGCGGCAAGCAGTGAGAGGTAGGAACCGCAGGTCGATCAGCGGGCCGCGAACGAACAGGGGCGCGCCCGCTCGGGGGGCCGCGAGCGGGGGCCGGCGTAGAGGCAGCCGGGGCTGCCCCAGAGGCGAGAGCGAGCGAGCTGCTGAGGCGCAGCGGGTGCCGGGGAGCGGGCAAGTAAGTCCGCACTCGGGGCACCCGAGCCAGGGCTCCCCAGCGGGTGGGTGCCGGCAAGGAGGCAGCAGCAAAAAAGGGAGGCTGGTGGACTCAAGGCTCACGGCGCTGCAGGCTGTCACGCCGCTCGATCCTGGTGCGCCTCCAGGAGGGCCCCGTAGATCTGACCAGGGGCGGGGCTTCCTGGCGGGGGCTGCGAGTACGTGCCGAACGGCTCAGCGTGCCCAACGAATTCGGTGGCAACTCATGGGAGCCTCCCATACCATCTTGGTGGCTCTTGTGAATCGACGCTAAATCGAAGCTAAATCGACGCTAAATCGACGCTCACCAAGGCTGAATCGGCGCTATCTCATCGATGCCCAGACGTGGAAGACGAAGGACCCAAGGGGCCGTCGTGGTCGTCGGCGGTAGATAGTATGAGGTCCTGCGTGATGCAGGGGCAGTAATCACAGCAGAGCGCGAACGGGACGCGGTGGAGAGGGCCGCAGCAGACCTCACATTCGTCACATTGGTAGTCGGTGTGTGTGTGGGGGCGGGGTGGAAGCGGCTGAGCGGTGATGAGGGCGCGCCAAGCCTTCCTCCAGCGGGTCCAAGTGATGCGAGGTAGATGTGGGGCGCAGGAAGGGCAGCGGTGCCCAGAAGCACGCGGGTAGCAACCGGCTGGCGGTAGAAGGGCAGGGCGCAGAGGGAGGAAACATGCGGAGCTGTGCCCCTTGATGCTGTTGCTGCTGCTGCTGCTGTTGCTCCTTTCCTGCGTCGCCTGCTCCTTCCTTCTGCCTCCCACCTCCTCCTCCTTCTCCTTCTCCTCCTCCTCAACTGTCTCCTCCTCTCCAGCCCTCTGGTGCAGAACGATGTACAGCGTGCAGTACGTAAGCGTCTTGGTGTAGTGCCGTAGCATGCCCAGGAGCCCACGCTCTGGTATCAACATCGCGCTAGCAGGGGCCTGGGAGGGAAAGAGGACCAACAGGCACAGAAGAAGTAGCCGACGATAAGAGAGAGAGCGATGGAGATCAAAAGCATAGAGAAAGAGAGAGAGAGAGACAGAGAGAGAGGCATGGAGAGAGAGAGAGAGGGAGAGATAATGGGATGTTGTCCAGCATGTTACCCTCAAATTGCCAACACAAAAAAAGACGCCAGCGCAACATGAGCAATCAAGGCCGTATTCCAAGTGAGCCTGCCTTTCTCGTCTTGCCTTCATTACTCAGGTGATGCGGGCCCAGGTAGATACATATATCTCATGAGAAAGAGAGAAGGCGATCTATACAGCAAGAGAGAGAGAGAGAGAAAGAGCTACCGTGCAACTGAGAATGCGTAAACACAGGCACACACTCACATGAGAAAGAAAGATGGATTTGCACCTGTGGGTGCGTGAGTGAATGTATATATAAATGTATATATAAATGTGTATATATATATGCATATATACATATATATAGACATATATATATATACTCAGATACATATGTAGCCAGACATAGAGAGAGATACTGAGAGCAAGAGAGAGAGAGAGAGAGGAGGGAGATAAACAACAACAAAAAAGCAGTCGCCTGAGCGAGACGGGCACTGAATATGGATGAAAAGGCGGCGGGCCGCCAAGCGGGGACGCCGCCGTGCAGGGCGGGCCGCGGCCGCCCCCCGGAGGGCCCCCGCGAAGCCGTGCCCCGCGGGACCGCCCGCACCCGCCACGGGAGGCACGCCGCGGGCTCCCAGAAGCTCCCCGACCAGCGCCCCCGGAGCGACGGGCTACCCGACGAGATCCCTGAGGAACGGGCCCTGTCGAGATCCCCGACGAGACCCCCGACGAGATCCCCCGCGGAGCTCCCCGACGAGATCCCGACGAGTGACGAGACCCCCGACCAGTGATCCCCGACGAATGAGCCCTGTCGGAGTTCCCGACGAGATCCCCGACGGGATCCCCCACGCGATCCCCGACGAGATCCCGGGGGGGCCGAAAGTGAGCTCCCTGGATCTCCGACGAGCTGTGTTGTGGCCCTCGGGGGCCCGTCGTGGGCCATCAGAGTGCTCCTCCGGGGCGAAGAAGCGCCTCCCCGGGGAAGGGGAAGAGGGAACTCCGGGGCCGCGGAGTCGACCACACGCAGGAGTGACCCTGGTCAGGAGCGACCTTTGGTGAGCAGAGTGCTCCTCCGGGGCGAAGAAGCGGTTCCCGGGGAAGGGGAAGGGAACTCCGGGGCCGCGGAGTCGACCACACGCAGGAGTGACCCTGGTCAGGAGCGACCTTTGGTGAGCAGAGTGCTCCTCTGGGGCGAAGAAGCGGTTCCCGGGGAAGGGGAAGGGAACTCCGGGGCCGCGGAGTCGACTACACGCAGGAGTGACCCTAGTCGGGAGCGACCTTCGGTGAGCGGCTTGAGGCGGCGGCGGGTAGGCCAGGTCCAAGCGCGCAGGCGAGGCGCTGGGGGGACCCCGGTGAGCCCGCGCGAAGGGTCACTCTGGCGAAGGGTCACTGCTGCGCGTGGCCGACGGATTGGGAAAACAGGCGGGCGCACGCCAGGGGGGACTGGACTGGACCCACCAGACACTGTCTGGTGGGTCCAGTCCAGACACTGTCTGGTGAGTCCAGACCCGCCGACCTGTCAGGTCGGAAGGAGGAAAGGGGCCAGTACCCAGACCCCGACGTCGTGAATTTTTCATTACGTCGACCCCAGAGTTCTCGACCCCTTCCCCAGGACCGGTTTGTGATCCTGAGTCGTTTTTTGACGCTCCCGAGGCCCGGTGAGGGCCCCCAGAGGCTGAAAATTACGAAAAACCTCCCGTCGTGATTTTTTCACTGCTCGAGGGGGTCTGGGAAGGGGGCCAGTATAGGGAAAAGGGAGGCAAGGGGCCGAGCGAATCCGCCCGCGCAGCTGCTTCTCTCCCGGCGCCTCCCGGCGCTGGAAGCGCCGGTGCGTATGTCGATGAGACCCCGCCCCGCGGCGGGACCCGGACAAGCTGGCCGCAGAAGGTTTCGCCGCCCCCCCTTTCCTTCTTCCCCCCCCCTCTTCCCTTTCCTTCTTCCCCCTCTTCCCCCCCCCCCCTCTTCCCCCCCCACTTTCCTTCTTCCTCCCCCCTCCTTTCCTTCTTCCTCCCCCCCCTCTTCTTCCCCTTCTTCCTTCCTCCCCCCCCCTCTTCCCCCCCCCTTTCCTTCTTCCTCCTTCCGCCGCGCCCCCCCTTTCCTTCTTCCCCCGCTTCGAGTAGGAGATCGGCGGCAGAAGTCATGTGCCCCGAGGTGTCTGCTCGCTCGAAGATGATAATAGAGGGCAGCGTGGAGCTTGACCTGGAAGTCTGCGAGCATTCGATGCACCCTTCGTATCTTCGTTGTGTTTGAATCCAAGAAGTGGGGTCAATCAATCCTGCAGTCAACCTCCCACTCGACCCCTGGGGGACGGGCGAGGACCTTGGAAGAGTTCTCCGCCGCGCCCCAAGGAGGCCTGGCGAGGTCAGCGTGATGCCCCCCAGGCCCCACAGACGCAAATCGCAGACCACACCCTGGCGTAAATCCGCACCCCTAGTATCTGGTCGGGCATGTCCCCCTACAAGCGGAGCTTGGGCGAAAAATTAAAGATACTCAAAAATACCCTAAAATAATCAAACAAATACTAAAAAGAGATCGTCCCCAGACTATGTTTTGCTATTTTTGAATGCTCCTCCTGTAGAGGGACACGCCCGACTTTCGCCGACCCCCTCTCGCCCGACCCGAAAACAGGGGGCCCGGTGTGCTCGACCTCCCCCGGAACCGTGCCGAATCGAGTGAACCCCACCCTGCCGCCCCTCAGAAATCGTGGGGGGTAGGGGTAGGGTTCGCCTGTGGCCCCCTAGCGGAAACCCGGGCGCTCCCCGGGGGGGGGGGAGCCCGCACCCGCGGTGGGCCCAGCCCGCAAGGCGGGTCGGGCCGACGAGGGGGGCGCGGCGCGCTCCTGCGCAGGAGGCGCCCCAGCCGCACACCACCGCCACCGTGCGGGGGCGCCGCAAGGGGGGGACCGTCCGTCGTGTGTACCCGCCAGCTCCAGGTTGCGCCTGCCTTGCCAGGAGGGTGTCCTCCATACTGTGCTTGTGCTTTGCTTGCCATCGGGCGCTTGGCTAGGCTGCCTCCCGTATGCGCGGGGAGGGGGCGCCTGGCCAGGCGCTCACTGACGCTACAGGCGGAGGACCGCCTCGGAGCTCGGCTAAGAAAAAGTGGGGGACCAGCGATCCAGACCTCTCAGGGGGGGCCTGCACAAATAGCACCGGGACCTGGACATCCAGATTCCAGTCCGTGTTTAGGCAGTCCAGATAGGTCTGTAGGTCTGGAGGGCTGCTTCTGGCGCGCTGGAATGCGGCGATAACTCGCCAACAGATCGGCGGTAGGCCCCCGATAGCGAATCCGCACGTGTTCCTGTGGGCGGCGTGGGCTGTCGGGCTCCTGTCGGCAATGAGTGGGCGAGTCCGGGTCGATGCGCCCCCCCCCCCCCCAGGAGCCTGTCTCCCCCCCCAAAAAAACCTGGCCCCTGGACCGTGCCCGGCCAGGGCCAGCCGCACACGGTGGTGGTGCGCGGCAGCGCTCTCCGGAGCTCCCCGAGGGCGGGGGGGGGGGCGCCTGGGCCGAGGCGGAGCACGCGCCCCGTGAGCGGGGGCCTCGCTTCCAGGGGCTCTGGCGAGCCTCCGAGGGTGCAGCCCCGCGGATCTCCCGTGCGGGCCGGCCCAGCTTTGGAGGTCCGACAGCGCGGGGGGGGCTCCGGGAGCCGGTCTGTCCGAGGGGCCCCCGAGCACCCGCCGAAGAGCTGTCTCTGCACCCGCCGTTCGGGAGGCGCGTCCCCCCGGAGGATCCCGATCCCGGGCAGCGCTGGATGGATGTGGACACGCTCCCGGCCCCCGATGAGAAAAACAACACACTGCATAAGCAGAAGCCGATCGAGGTCCGCACGGATTTCTTGGATCCGCGCCGGACCTCCCCTGGCGCCCAGAGCGCGCCAGGGGCGGCGCGGGAAGCGCCGCCACGGGGTCACAGCGTGGAGCCGAGAAACCCGCGCAGAGCTCCGAAAGTTTATGCTTATTGTGATTTTTCTTCTTCGACCGAGGGCGTGCAATGTCCACATCCTCGCTATATCCCCCGGGGGCATGTCTCCAAATCCTGCGGATATGTGCAAACCTCTGGCTCCGATCCGAGCGATCACAAAGCAATCCCTTGCACGGCGACTCCACCCTTGGGGTCTGCCGAATTGGAGGCGGACGGCTTCTGGTGCTAACAGAATGGGCCGATCATTCGAGCCAGAGGCTGCATGGGGGAGGCGAGCGGCCATGCATGTGCCCCTTGCTCATGTACGATCGAACTCCTGGTGATGCTGCCTCTGTCCTAAAGAGTTTCCCTCTGTGCTGCACGGTTGCCGCTGCACATTTCCGCCTGCCGCAGCTGCTCCTGCCAGTGCCACCCTTGCTGCCCAACCCTTGCCGCTGCCACACGCACGGAGTTGCCGCTTCCGCCGCCCCCGCCACCGCCATCGACACAGTCATGCCCCCTCGTGCCGAACGACTGCGGCAACGAGCGATAATCGGCGGCGCGCCAAGGCAGGAAGTGAGAGGGGGCAGGCCTTCTCAACGCGGTGAGGCTGCGGAGAAGCCTTGCGGCCTTGAACAGAGCTGGGAAGCCCTTTGCGGCTTCGGAGAAGTCTTCGCAAGCCCCTCGGAAGGCCAGAAACCTTCTGACCCTTCTGAGAGGCTTCGCCCCTTTGTCTGCCTTTCCGCATAACGGCACCGCCGGCCCCCCCCCCTCCCACACACACACACACACACACACACACACACACACACACACAAACACACACACACACACATATATAGAGAGAGATGTGCGCATATTCACACCTACATACATACACATACATACAAACATACAAGCAGAAATAAGCACATACAGACAAACAGAGAGACAGACAGACAGACAGACAGGCCGACAGACAGACTGACAGACAGACAGACAGGCATACACACATACACGCATGCATACATACATGCATGCATGCATACGTACATGCATACCCGCATGCATGCATACCTACATACATACGTACGTACATGCATGCATTGATACACACGCGTGCAGACATGCATACATGCATACCTACATACAAACAAACCAGACCACCAACATACGTACATACGTACATACATACATACATACATACATACATACATGCATACATACTTTCATACATGCATACATCCATACATACATTAGTACATGCATACATACATACATGCATACATCCATACATACATACATACATACATACATACATAAATACATACATACATATATGCATGCATAGGTAGGCACATACAGTTATGCATGCATACACGTACATACATACATACATACATACATACATACATACGTACGTACGTACGTGCATGCATGCATGCATGCATGCATGCATGCAATCATGAATGTATGTTTACGTGTATGCATGCGTAATTACAGACGTACATACATACATGCATGCATACATGCATGCATTCATACATACATACATACACACATACATACATACACACACATACATACATGCATACATACACATACACACACATACATGCATACATGCATACATGCATACATGAATGCATACATACATACATGCATACATACATACATACATACATATATACATACATACACACATACATACATACATACATACATACATACATACATACATACACATATATATATACCGATATACACAAATACATGCATTTATACACACATGCATACATACATACATACATACATACATACAAGCATCATGCATGCATGTATGCACGCATGCATGCATGCGTGCAGACAGACAGACAGACAGACAGACAGACAGACAGACAGACAGACAGACAGACAGACAGACACACATACACAAACAGACAGACAGACAGACAGTCAGACCGGCATACAGACAGACAGACAGTCAGACAGACATTCATTCATTCATGCATCGACTTCCGGCGCCCAGGCGCGGATCCCAGAAAAATACGCGCGGAGCGCCCCAAGTGTGTCTATGCCGCTGTTTCCTCTTCTTCGAGCCTCGCCAGCAACAAAACAACAACAACAACAACAATCACTTTACCCGAACGCTCAGTGTTCTCACCAGTGCCAGGGTTTTCATGCGACGCCAGCCAATACCCCCACTTTGTGGGGGGGCAGTGCAAGCTCTACCAAATATCCACACGACTCTTCGCCACCACCCACACCCAGCTTCCCGCCCTATGACGTTCGGACACTTCACTTCGTGGCCTGCGGACGACCGTGGCTACTACACTGGCGTGGAGTACACACCCACAGAAGTTGTTAAGCCTACGTTCGTACACCCACAGAAGTTGTTAAGCCTTGTTAACCCACAGAAGTTGTTAAGCCTTCCACAGAACATCTGTTGCATATGATGCATATGGTACATGATACACATGATACACATGATACGTACTCACAAGATAGTTGATCACATCTTTAGGGCAAATTCCTGAGGGATGTGGGAATACACAAGAGAGAGAGGATATGGTTGTCCCGATGGTTGTCTCGATGGTTGTCCCGATGGTTGTCCTGATGGTTGTGGTTGTCCCGATCGTTGTCCCGATGATTGTCCCGATGGTTGTCCTGATGGTTGCGCTTGTCCCGATCGTTGTCCCGATGACTGTCCCGATGATTGTCCCGATGGTTGTCCCGATGGTTGTTCGGATGGTTGTCCCGATGGTTGCCCCGATGGTTGTGAGCGATGCCGGATCCTCACGCCCCCCGCCGGAGGAGGAGGAGGAGGAGGAGCAGGACAAGGAGGAAAGGAGAGAAGAGAGAACGGAAGGAGGGGCGGGAACGGCGCTCGCACGCCCACCCACCGTCTTTTCCCCGCCGCGGCTCTAAAGAGACGAGTTCGCGCGCTCGTCATCTTCTGGCATACGCCCGTCCCTGATGGCACGGATGGGGCGCAAAGCTGCCAGCTGGCCTCCTGGCAGAAATACATCAGGGGCCAAGTGTCCAAGCATGGTGCCGATACGCCTCCTCGCGGATACATCGCCCGTGCGCGCGAGGGGCGCCAATGCCGCCAGGACGCCCTGGACATGCGCCGGCATACGCAGATCCACCTGGCAATCCATGACATTGCCATACTGGGACTGCCCGCAAGAACGCCATACTGGCACGTGCCACCAATGGTCCTGCTTCGGGAAATAGGTGATACCATCGTTGACGTCGTGGGAGGCATTCCACAGAGCCATAGATTGCGGCTCAATACCCATGGGTCCCGTGTGTGTTGCCACAAATACGTCCAGGCTCGCCATGCGCCTGTACGACAGACCTGATACCACCTCGGAGTGCACGTGAATACCCAAGAGATGCAACAGCCTGCGCAAGCCCGCATACACCCAGCCGCCGGGCCCGACGAAGACGTGCGCTCTCCAGTTCGGTATACCAGCTTGGGTGCACAGCCGCTGGAATACGTCCGAAAGTGTGCCAAGATACGTCGCGGGTAGATCTACGAAACCAGAAAGGTTGCCGAATACCAAGCCAGGGTAGAAGTATACGTCGAAGGCCATCCACTCTGGGGTCTGGATGCCTCCAATACGGCGCTGGTTCTCGACCGTGGCGTTCACCTTGGACTCACGCGTACTCTCCGGCGTCGATACGCAGAGGCATACACCCATGATTCCCTGCCACATACACGGAAAGTACACTGGCAGGTGCGCAACCGTTGTCGCAGAAGTTCGAAAAAGTTGCTCGCAAAAGCCCGTTTGACAGAAATGCTTTAAAAAGTGTTGGGTTTCCTACGAATCCGCAAGAGCGCGCGGGATGAGATTTTGACAATTTTTTGTTGAAAAACCATTGGTTTTTTATGTTTTTATGTTAAAATCGTTCCGAACACTAAGGTTTTGGAAGGATTTCGTCTTGCGCGCGCGAATGTCCACTTTACCTTATTTTTTGCAAGGGATTCTTGAAATTTGATTATATTAGAACAAGAAATGTCATTTTCTATTGTTTTTTGCAAGGGAAAGCGGATTACAACAAAACAACCGGATCCTGTACACACCCTCTTTTCTGAGGCTTCCTCACGAAAATGATGAAAATGTAGCTGCGGCCTAGGCGGCGCAGGGGGGGCGCGCACCAGGGGGCCCAACAATAATTATTCTTTAGAATAAATAATGTTCAACAACAACAACAACAATTACTAGCACGTGGGGACACTCCGTTCTCACCAGTGCCAGGGTTTTCATAGGAGGCGGGCAATACCCCCACTTTGTGGGGGGGCCGGTTCAAGCTCTACCAAATTTCCAAACGACTCTTCGCCACCACCCACACCCAGCTTCCCGCCCTATGACGTTCGGACACTTCACTTCGTGGCATGCGGACGACCGTGGCTACTACACTGGCGCATGCGCGTGTGTCCCGCATGGTATTATTTGACAGGGATGATGGCCCTGGCAGGTGCGCAACCGTTGTGGAGAAGTTCGAAAAAGTTGCTCGCAAAAGCCCGTTTGACAGAAATGTTTAAAAAGTGTTGGGTTTCCTACAAATCCGCAAGAGCGCGCGGGATGAAATGTTGACATTTTTTTTTTGAAAAACCATTGGTTTTTTGATGTTTTTATGTTAAAATCGCTACGAACACTAAGGTTTTGGAAGGATTTCGTCTTGCGCGCGCGAATGTCCACTTTACCTTATTTTTTGCAAGGGATTCTTGAAGTTTGGTTATGTTAGAACAAGAAATGTCAGTTTATATTGTTTCTTGCAAGGGAAAGCGGGGGGGAACAAAACAACCGGATCCGGACCAACCCGTTTTGCTGGAGACTTCCTCACGAAAATGATGAAAACATGGCTGCGGCCTAGGCGCGGCGGGGGGCGTGCACCAGGGGCCCCAACAATAATTATTCTTTAGAAGTAATAATGTTCAATAACAACAACAACAACAACAACAACAACAATCATTTTACCCGAACGCTCAGTGTTCTCCCCAGTGCCAGGGTTTTCTTGCGACACCAGCCAATACCCCCACTTCGTGGGGGGGCCGTTCAAGCTCTACCAAATATCCAAACGACTCTTCGAGACCACCCACACCCAGCTTCCCGCCCTATGACGTTGGGACACTTCACTTCGTGGCGTGCGGACGACCCTGGCTACTACACTGGCGTTCTGCACTTGGACAAGCGTGTCTTTGGATGAATACTGCAGTAGCCACGCCGTTGCGACCCTATCTGGCACATACAGTGGTGGATCCAACTGTCGGAGCGCCCGGCATAATTTGAAA